TGTGGTGACACAAAGAATTTTTTGGGATAAGTTCAATGTTCCATGCTGGACACTTTCCTCAGTGAGGAACTTCATAGAATGATGCCCGATGCAATTAAGTGGTTCAAAAAAAAGAGGGCGCTACAGCACACAACAGTGAGGGAAAGCACGAACAAGCCGAGGACAATGTTTCAAGGCTGCTTAATTGAGATTTTTTGACATTCATTGGCCAGCAAGATCCCCCGACTTAACAGCTCCCTATTTCTTATGGGTTACCTTAAATCTCAAGTGTATGTTACCCATCCCTCATGTATCCAGGAACTCAAAGACCACATCACACGAGGAATTGCAGGAACTGATTGCGCTTTATCACAGCGAGTTATACAGACCTTTAAGGCAAGGTTATGACAATGTATAGAGTGTGGTGGAGGTCATCTGGAACATGTAATTTCCAAATGCTTTTACTGATTGTTAATACTTAAAATGTTTTCACTGATTTTTCCCACAATCTCCAACAACACAACAATGAAAACCATCAGATCCTTGTATGAAGAGTACAGGTATTAATAAGTGCAGATTATTACAGTAATGTACCTTTCACAATTAATGAATAACAAATAAATATATTGCATCGCGCATAATCTTTTATTTGCAGTATCTGTTCTAATTGTGTTAGAGAGATAAATTTGATGCTATAATGATCCTGTATAAATTCTCTACCAGACTTTTCCAATAAAAGAGCTTAAACAAAATATTCTGACACGATATAATGATGGGGACTCCATTCTTTTATGAAAAAATGTAAGAAATGTTGATACTGGAGTCTATAAAATAAGAAAAATTTAATCTAGAAATACAAATTTTTACTAAAATAATGAGTAATTTATCTATATACAGTGACCCCTCGTTTAACAAACGCCTCGGTTAACGAAATTTCGGTTAACGAACTGCCTTCCATAAGGATCTTCAATTTGGTTAACGAATTTCTTACGAACCGACCTCAACATGTTTTCGCTTGCACTGACCGGGCAACCAGCTTTAGTATCAGTCCGCCAATACATTAATCGGTTCTAGGGCTTAAATTCCTTACTATTTTAGTAAATATCAAGAAGTTTATACTATTCAATAATTTTAAAAGTTTAATATTCAATTTTTTAGTCATTTTAACAATTATTGAACATAATTGAAGGTAAAGTGACTAGTTTAATGCGCGGCATCCAGCCTCTTAACACAGCAAACAGGCGTTAGTCTCTCTCTGTTTTCACTGGAGGTAACATCTTGCTTGAGACTCTCTTCAACTAAACACTTTTTTTCTGTGTTTCCAAGCAAATTATTGGTCATTTTGAAATATATTTTACATATTGACAATATATAATGCAGTGCAGTGTTGATTTAAAGAAAATAATCTTGAATTACACCAAGAGGGCTAAAATTTTATGGGTGAAATGGCGCCATGGGGTGACTTCTCTTCCACCCCAATGCCTTCCCTTCTTCCTTCTCCTCCACCCCCCATTCTAAATCCCATCATCATCATCATCCAGGAGCCTTCTACATACACACCTCAAAGTAAGTGAACTTTTCTACCATTTTTGTTGAATTTAGGAAATTTTTGGTGAGCTGGAACCAATTACCCAAAAACCCATTGAAATAATGGTTTCGGTTAACGAACTTTTCGGTTAACGAACGACCTTCTGGAACGGATTGAGTTCGTTAACCGAGGGGTCACTGTATTTGTTTAAATAAATACCTTTAAAAAATAAAAATCTTTTTTATATGGGCATGTGAGGCGCCTCATGAATGAAGCTGTGTCTCAGTGGAATTCTCCACTGTTTTCCCCGAGTCTAAGCAACGTATCTCACGCGGACTGACAAAAGAGCTGTATTTATTTACACAAACACCATTGTACACGTATAATATATTATACGTAAACAAAATAATGTACTGTCGTCCTGAGCCTACAGTAACAGTATACTATCCAATCGCCTGATTGTAATACATATATGCAACTGTAATCACTTCTTATGTCTTTAAACACTTACAGGTATGATGGAGGTGTGGTAGGTGATTAGAGGGTCTCATGTTACTGACCTGACCTGACGCAATGTCAGGTCCACCCATTGTATATAAACTCTTCTCTGATTTGAGGCAGGGGTAGGGTGGGGGATTAGTGGTCTCATATTACTGACCTTCTGATGCACTTCATAGTCAAAGCAAAAGTACTTCAGTCACTGAAACAGGGAAAGCACTTCATATTCACTAAAACAGAGTACAATGTCAACTTTAGTGATGTCCTCTCATTATATGGTGTAAAAAAACAACAACAACAACGATGACTGATAAACATTCAGCTCTATTTTTTACACACACATGTAAGCAAGAAGAAACAATGCCTGGACTGCCGTTCACTAGATGGCCAAAAGGTAGCGTTCAGTGCCTCAGCTGACAAATGAAGTGAGTGATGAGTTCCATATGGCAAGTTGGCGGGATGACAAATATCGTTAATGCGAGTTTGTTAACACTGCAAATAGGGGAGTGGTCTTAATATACCAGCATCGTTAATGCGAATTATCATTAGTTGGGATATCATAAATAGAGGTTTACCTGTATTCACATTTACCATTATAAAAGAAAACATCAATGATTCATACCTGGGTGCAAAGTTGAGAGCACCTGTACAGTACCCTTAAACAACTATACTATACTGTAGTCTTCATATTGTAATACGTGGTAAATTACCGACATCATAAATATGTTTTCATGTTCCCCCTTCTATTTAAACATTCCAAGGGCTGACATCACATCCACAATACACTGAGTTCAACAGACACGCCTATGAGACGCTGCTGACTGAGGCAGCTACCTCACCAATCGATACAGTGCATTACATTTTTTTATATGGAATGCACTGATAAACAAGAATCCTTATAGTACATGTACCAGTACATGGTAATTAGCAGTAATATTCAAACTTACCAATATAAAACAAAACATATCAGGGTGCTAAATAAATTGCCAGGTGCATAGCAGAGTGGGTGACTGACTTTGTTGACACTGGTTAACGCTTACAGGATGATTGTAATTATGGCACTAGGTAAATTTTTAGGGAAATACTATAACTTAATTTAAGTTCTATTAAATACAGTACCTATAGTCTACATATTACAGTACTGTAGGTGAAACCTTAGCAAGATCAAAGTTTTGTTAGGCAGTTCATAAGCTAACCCCCAATAATTACATTGTTCCTATGGGGAATTAGCTTTCGGGTTTCCAACCGCCACCTCACAAACTGATCCTTCAGTCCCTATCTTGTTCATTAACCTGATGTTCCTGCACATCTCAAATAGATGGTAGAATTAACAAAATGTAATTTTCCACTGTACAGGTACTGTATTCTTTATTATCAACAAAACTATGACAAGACATTAATGTTGCTTTCAGTTTCTATAAATCAAAATCAGTAATACAGTACTGTACAGTATATCTCATCAAACCCACAGACTTTCATTTCATGATTTGACAATCTGTGGCCCACTGAATTATTATAAAATATGTACTTCATGCATGCAATACCTGCACTTCTACAGTACAAAATACACTGGGAAAATTATCCCAAAATACTTAATGAATACACGAGTCTTTTTTTTACCAGAAAATTTTAACATTTTTAGATAAAGAGGTACCTGACATTAAAGGTTTAGGTACGGGTATACCCCGTAAACCAACGTCCCATTAACCACTGATTCACATAATCGACGATTACGTATAGGGGAAATACTCCACAAGTTTCACTGACTACTCCATTGATCTAATGATGAGGGAGGAGCAACAGCAGAGCTGTTTTGAATGTGGCGGGTTGTGGCAAGGTGCAAATTTTTGCCACGAGAAAGCTCTGCGTGCTTCCTCTGCCTCTCTGCACGTGTTTACACTTACCCTGTACCCCTTTGTCTCCGACTTCGTGTTTTTTTTCATTGTTTCCGACTTCGTGTGTTATGCAATCATGCCTGAACGCCTCAGTGATAGTGCCTCTAGTGCTGCCCCTAGGAGGACACATAAGTCTGAGTCTTACTGTGAAGCTTGATGTGATAAGAGTGATGATGGACCAGCAAAGAATGGTAGAGACTTGAACTTGTCACCCTCAACCATCTCTACTATCCTTAAAAATAAGGAAAAGTATGAGGCAGCTGCTGATGAGAATGTCTCCCCTTCCTCAAGGACTGTTCCCAGGCTGGAGAAGAAGGAGCAGCGTTGATGGTCTCAATCGACAACAACCAGCAGAGGAACTATCCCTTAAGCCAGGCCCTGACCAAGGAGAAGACCAGGTCTCTGACTTTCTTTGAAGGAGGAAGCCACTTCCTTCTTCAATACTCCTGATTTCACTGCCGGCCATGGATGGGTTTGACAGGTTAAGGTACTGTGCTAACCTGCATAACATCCAGTTAGCTGGGGAAGCTGCACGTGCCAACCAGGTGGATTGTCTGTTCGAGAGCTCTGGAAGGCTTACAACATCAAGAGAGGCCCAGACAACATTACATAGTCCTGGGAGGAAATGTCACCTTCTACAATAAACAGTGTGTGATGACAGCTTTGGCTTGAGGCTGTCCATAGCTTCAGGGCTTCACCCGTGCACCAGATGTCACCTGCTGGAGCTGAAGGAGCCAGAAGCAGAGGAGTCACCACACACTTTCCCTACCTTAACTTTGGCCAACCTTGAAAAAATTTTGGGTAACGTGGACCCGCAGCCGGAGTATTTTCGACATGGACCTTGATGGTAAAAGCAGCTTTAAAGTAAGGAATGGCCTGTAGGAATTATTCTGCTGCTACATGGGGATAGTAGGCAGCTATCAAAAAGAGAGGTACTACCTCCAGGGAAGATATTGGAAGCATAATGTGCTGCCATATGGCATCACAAAAATTGTGACGAAGTCCCTGGTTGCTGATCTGACTTTCTGCCTCATTTACACACAATTGCAGGGTCTCAATTGTTACGCTTTCTTTGACAACACAACATATAAATCATTTCTCACTCTTGATTTGTTTAATTTTCTCCATTTATGTTTGGTTAATTTTTTTTTCAGTCCCCAGGGCCTGATGTGGGTCAGTGACCTGTGCCTGGGTGGGCTAAGCCCCATACGAAAAAAAAAGAGCAGGCAAAGCAGGCCAAGGTCACCGATTTCTTCAAGCCTCTTCCTAAGTCTCAGCCACCAACTTCCTCGGTCGTCTGTACCCTTTTACGCAAGCAAAAGCATCAGCCTGCCCCTCAGCAAGAGTCTCCACCTGCATTCACTGGGTTTGGGGACCCTGATGACCCTGCACCCTTCACCCAATAAGTTTACCCCAACCAACATGTTTCTCCAACCTTGAGGAGGAATGTCGACTCAACGGTCAACACAGGTAATATACCTGTAACAGTCTCAATTTAGGCTTATTATTCTTGCTTCCTTTGTCTGCTTTATTTTCTTGCTCGACTGTGCACGACACAGATATATGAAGGGTAGACGGGAGGGTGACCGGTCCCTAACCCCCCGTAGGTGTTATGTTCTAATGGGATTAATTGCTTCAATAACCATCGATTCATTAACCAACAACTTTTCACAGTCCCTATATGCGTTGGTTATCGGGGTATACCTGTATATGTTGTAAATTGTTAAACATACAATTTATGATGATGTTTTTCACTGAATCAACTGTAAAAGCACTGCTTACAGCCATTAAAAGTTAACACTTCTGACTCTTGAATGCATCATATAGGCTACTCTTTCTAAAATACTATTACAGTATGTCTAAAAAACAAATTGAATACAGGATCTGTATCCTCGTTTAATGGCGGAGATGAGTTCCAGAAAAACCTAACGTTAATTGAAATTATCGCTAAACAAGGGGTAACAAGAAATAATATCCATAGAGATAGCATGTTGCCATTGTTACATGTAATGAAACTATAGAAGTTGTGGAATAATCATTATAATACCCTAATGTGGCCTAGAAATAAAGAAAATATAAGATAAAACTTTAATATAAGAAAAATTAAGATCATTAGTGTGTGTGTGTGTGGAAAGTGCTCATATGCATGGGCTTGAGGAGGCAGTGGACTAAAAACTATCATAAAGATTCTGATTTGCCACTCAATAGCACTCAGAGCAGGTGAGGCTAAGCTGTCAACTATGTTATGGTTATTTTTTAACTAGTAATTTTAGGTAGATACTGTATAGGTTTTTCTCTTTTTTACTCTGTTGTATGCACACACAATCATTCGTATGGAATGTGCAACAAAAATAAAATTACCATAAGGTAAAAAACATTTCTTATGTCTGCGGGAGTTAGCACACAGATCTGGGGAGAGGGGGTGAGGCACGGGGGATCTCGGCTGTTCTCTGTCTCTTACGCCCAGTGTGTAGTGAAACCAAATGTCAAAGCATTATTTTTTCCTTTTATTTTTGTATTATTATTATTTCATTTATCCCTCACATTTACTGGTACAGTATACACGCGACACATTTCAGCCGGGCAGTCATCCAGCTGATTCAAGAGATGTATATGACTGCTGGGTGTATGCTATACCGTCACTTGGGGGGAGGGAGTGTGCGGCTAGCTGCAGTTACAGCTCACTGCCTCAATACATATGTTCACTTCCCAAACATACACTTATGCTCTTCATTTTTCTTATTTTATAGTTTTATATTATATTTTCTTTACTTCTGAGCCACATTAGAGTATTGTAATGATGCACACTTGGAGCACAGAATCCCCAGTTTTTCCGACTTCCCTCCCGAGTTTTCCCCAGTTAGTTGAACGCTGCTAAACTGAATATTAACTAATTGTCAAACAAGAAAGGGTGTTCAGATCTTTATAAAAACACATCCCGTAGACTGAGCAGGATCAACTGTACAGGGTAGTTAACCTTTTGGGCTGGATACAATTATGTGTACACATACAAAAACTTTAATGTTCAAATACTGTACTGTATACCCAAACATTATTTAAGTACCTGTATTAGAAAAAATTTAATACAATACATATTTAATGATGTCCTGTAAAATAAAGAGCAAACTGAAAACTACATTAATTAGCCAACTGAAACCCAAATATTGTATAAATGAGAATGCCATATGCTTTGCAAATACTGTAGTAAAATATATTAACATGGCTAACTTCAACACAATACGTACTGATTGTTAAAAGAGGCTAAGAAATGATGATATTCTTTGAAAACTGTAAAATAAAAGCAAACATTTCAAAGGATCCATTGAGGAATAATTAGTGATAGTGTATACAGAATTCCTGTATGAAAACATGAAGGTACAAAAATTTATGTATACAGTAAGTATAAACTTATTCAAAATCTACAATCTGTGCAGAATTATCAAATCTTAATGAAATAAGAATCAAATTGTTGTGGCAAGACCTTTTTTTTCCAAATCTATTATTAAAAAACAGGAAATAATTATAATACAAAATCAGGAACCAACATCCTGTCTAAGAACAGAATCATGGACACTCATAAATATTTCTCTAAAACTATAGAGCCTGTGTTATCTTGCTTCTGAGTGCAGAAGACAAGGATGAAAGGACGAAGCAGAGGCATGGCCCGATCTACCCCAAGGCAGTGGCTTGCAGTCTGACCATTCATTTCGACAGAAATCGTAGATCTCTACCGAAGACAGGAACTGACTGCCATCATAACCCCCTGTAGGTTATAAACATATCATTATAGCAAGTTTCCTCACTGAAGCAACTATTAAAAGATGGCTGGTATAGTAGTAAGACAGAAATAAAAAATAAAAATTAAGTAAATACCTACAAACCAAAAGAAATTTTCTTTCACTATACACTGACCTAACCTAGGTATTTCTATACATTAATGATATATTATTTTGTCAATACTGTACTGTACTGTATTAATCCTAACAATCCCTAATAATCAAAGAATTAATGCATTAAATTTAACTTTAACTTTATGACCAATGTAGATAGAAGTGACTGGTGAGATCTCTCCACTAGAACACTAGAGAGAGCCTTGTTCATGATGCATCCTGCAAACTTAAAGATGGGGCAATGTCTTGTTATATCGATGTAAAGGTTGAATACATAGAACCTCATCCACACAAATGGGAGTTAATGAAGCAAGCTTCAAGCTTGATCTGATCAGAATTTAAAAAGCTGGCAAGTCAACATGTAAACTAAAGATTTCTAAATAAGCAAGGGAAGTGATGGAAGAGGGTCCACTAAACTGATCCTGAATACTGCCATCAAAAAGATTATTGCTAATCCCCACCCTACCTCAACTCAGGTGACAGGTCATGAAACCTGATTTCCTTGTTTTGTTGCTTTGTTCTGTTAGTTGGCTAAAGAAGGTCCTAGTACTGTACCAGCTCCAAGATTTTGTCTTTAATTTCTTCACTGTGGGTTTTTACTTCATTTATCAGTGTGACCATTACACTTTCAGAATACATGTATCATCTACATACCAGCTCAGCTCACCTCACAAAGTAAGAGTTACATTTATTTATTACTGTTCATACATTTTACAAAAATATTTGTTTGCCTAGTACCGTATATACTCGTCTATAATTCTACTTCGTTTATAGGTCGACCCTGATTTTTTACCAAGAAATCATTAATTTATGATATGCCTCGTTTATAGGTAGACGCAAGTTTTTGAGAGTAATGGAACAACAAATTAGGGTAATAAAGCACCATATTTTATGGCATATAAAACTCATTTCAGAAAACCTTCACTAAAAACGCTCTACGTCCTATAAACTGAGTGTCGCTGTGCCTGAAACACCGAGGGCCGAAGGCAAATTGTTTACCATTTATTATTACGACACTTTACACTGAACGCAGGTAGTTTCAGCAAAAAATATTGTATATTTCCATTCAAGTATTTATTCAAGTCAATTAGGAGGGAATATTATTGTAATACAGGCTGTAATTTCCTAGTCCGGCAACCTGGACCTGACCGTGCCGACTATGGAATTCACCCTTTCCTGGATAGATAGTGACTTGTGCTTATGCCTGGAAACACTAGCACCACTTTCTCTGCGCCATGGTCCTTTGAAGACATATTGAAGGGTTAAATGTCTATAGTAGTTTCTCAAATTTGAAAGTTTTTAATTCTCAACTATTTTATTGGAACACACAAAAAATAAATAAATAAAATTTGACGGGCGAAACTTGAATTTTACGGTTTGAAAGCCGCCAACGCAGCAGATGTCGCGTATAATCGTGTAAACAGCGCTATTTTATACAAAAGATTTATTATTGTTTATTACTGAATGTCTTTTTATTGAATTAATGTTTATGTGTGCAAATGAGCAATAAAATTCATTAATACGAATATTAAACACACGAAATGACACAGCATTGTTGATTACAAAACCAGTGACTGACTGGTTCTACATATAAAACTGAAGAAAATAAGACCTTTGCAGCTGTAGTAAAATTAATATGGTTGTTTAAGTAATGTTATTTAATGTTAATAAATGGAACAATAGAAGTAGCTAACAATAATGGTAAAGAAAAAGAGATCGTGATATGGGTGTGCATACATAACGTGAAAACATATCATTACTTTACAAGAAATGAAAGCAACTAATTTATTTACTGTTCATATATATTTAATTAATGTTTTGAATTTGTTTTTATTGAATTAATGTAATGTGGTAAAATTAACAATACAATTTATTATTAATACGGGAATATTAGAGGAGACGAGACGGCTAATGTGTCATTGTTAAAGCTTATTTAAACCAGTGACTGATTGGTTCTACATATAAATAGAAAAATAAGACCCTGAGTTTAGCTGTAGTAAAATTAATGTAAAAATGAATATGTGCTTGAAGTACCTGTTGTATTTAATGTTAATAAATGGAACAATATAAGTAGCTAACCATTAATGGTAAAAAAAAAAGTGAGACTAATCGGTATGTGTAAGACATGTGATAATATATCATTTACTCTACATAAGAATATGAAAGCAACACTTATTTACTGCTCATATATATTGAAGGGTTAAATGTTGTACTTGTATAGACAACCAGAGAGAGAGAGAGAGAGAGAGAGGCATTTACCTGTCAGAGTGTAAACAAACCTTAATTTTCCATGCTTTTTTTTTTAAGGAGTAGCCCACCGCATAGGTCACTGACCCACTTTGGGGCCTGAGGGGCAAAAATTTAATACTCCTGTAATAATAATAATATTCAGAGGAGAAAAAAAAAAAACCTGCCTATCTACCTATTGAAAAATCCAAAATCGTTCCGACCACGGAGTTTCCGGACCACAGAATGCCGGACTAGAGAGGTAATCCTGTTAAACGGTTTTAAATGAAACCATTCAAAAGGTTTTACAGTTAGTTACATCTTTTGAATAATCTAAAGAATGCGAAAATCGATTGTTTTCGCTATATCCTATTTTGATTGAAATACATCACGTTTCAGCAAAACTACTATTTATTTCTGAGAATATATCCAGGCACAGCTTAGGTAAAATATACATGTGATGTAACAGTTTTTAACTGAAAACGATTTAGAAAACACGCACTGGCCTAGCTGATACTCAACAGCTGGTGGTGCTGTCATACTAAATAATATGAGGTTGAGGTATTACTGGTATTATATTATGAAATATCGAAAAGGTTTTATTACCGGTATTTTTTGTAGATCAATGGGACTGTGATCGTGATATGATATAAGTTAGCCTGTGCTAAGAACTTCAACATAGACTACTGAAAGCAGCGCTGGTAAGGTAAAGTTAGCCTATTGTAAGTTGGTGTGAGCTTCATCTGCTGAAGGAACTGCACAGCTTTTCATTACTAATTGGTACATATTTTACATTCATTGTTTACTGGCAGTAACTGGTAAATATTTTTCATGTCTAAAGCTAAAGTTGCTCCTCGCCTCTTCCCATCATGTGTACGGATTCAACCTAACAAAACTATTACGATGTAGAGGTCGACTCCCCTTTTGCCTAAAAACTTGGTCTCAAAACCCGAACTACACGAGTATATACGGTAATTACAAATATAATAAATATAATATTTACGTAGCAGCCAAGGCATGGTGATACCTGTAGTATGTTTGTTGGTTAATAATGAGGAACAATCTTCAGAACGATCCGAATAAGGCACAAAACTGGGCAATTTATGTTAATAGAATGTCAAGGACTACCTATATAGTACAGTACTGATATTTTAAGCAAAACAAATTTTGAGCTTAAAGTATATGTATAATAACACATTTTCTCTAAATTAATGTTACCAGTAATTACTGTACATTAATACATCCAGAATAAAAGATAAACAACAAAAATCACTTTTAAAAATAACAGGTGCTGAGTAATTAGCATTGCAGAACTAATTTATTTTCCCAAATCATTAGGAAAGGCAATTATCAAAATTTTTACTTTTGACCACAGACCCTTAACCTGATGTCAGCGTCCATTAATGTTGACATTAGCGATTGCAGTCAAAATCAATAGACATGTTCATTTCTGTGTGCCTGTCTATACAGATAATTTAAGAAGAAATTTACTTTCTTTTTAAGAATTGATTTTTTTTTTTTTTGCACATATATCCCTTAATTTTTCCTTGGCCACAGTTTAAGGGTTATGAGAATATTATGTATTCACACAAATGGTAACTGTACTGACCCCCCCACACAGACACACACACTACCTCCACTGAACTGAATACAGATTATCGAATTCCTCGTTAAAACGGACTATTAGGGGGAAGGGTGTCCGTTTTAGCTGATTGTCCAATTAACCGATTTAGGGTTAATATTGCATTACAGCTATGTATGTTTATTTGAGTGCCCCATAGGAGTCCGTTTTCTCACTTCAGCACTCCTGACTCGCCTGCTTTTTAATCATGAGTGCACCAGAGACTGTTATATCTTGGTAGTGACACAGAATTGATATTGCAACTGGGGTTGCAATTGTTGAGGCAACTTAGGTATGTCTGATTACAGTTGGAATATTCAAGATCCATTGTGAGTGGTGTTTAAAGCTTCAACTGTCTTGGTTGGTAAAACTTGTCAAGTCTGTCAGTCTGAATGGCATGTGTGAGGCCTTGTGTTTGTACAACCGCTAAATATATACAGTAAATATATAAGTTATGATAATTATCAGAAACACATAGGCATAACGAGGTTTATTACAAAGTGATGAAAAGGATACTGTACAGTGGTTAGTCCACAAAACATGTAGCCATGTCTCTTTATTTGAGTGCCCCGGCCATAGGAGTCCGTTTTCACTTCAGGACGCCTGAGTCGTCCGTTTTCTCTTAATCTTAGAGTGCACCAGGGACTGTTATTTTTAGTAGTGACACAGAATTTGAAATTGCAACCCCAATTGCAACTGGGACAATCCCAGAACCAGAAATTTGATATGGACAGTTCAGATTTCGTCGGTTTATCGAAATCCGGATTAAGGGTCGAATTAGCAGTCGACTGTACTGTATACTCATATTTACATCCACTAAGTAGCTGGGGGGGGGGGGCCAGTCCTTGTCTCCCGGGCGGCACTTTTGGGTCTGCTCATCACCCATATCTGCAGCTACTGGAGACGTTAATCCATCCCTTTGTATCGGCGGCAAGTTAATCCTTGTCGTGTCTGACCTAACACCTGACCCACATCATCACGGCCACGTCATGAGCTACACCCTTGCTATGAGGCCCCCCGCCACACACACAACCTGTAACCTGTTGAGGATTAAGGAAACAACTTCAAACAAGTACGCCAGTGAGCTCATGTGGTGTGGGTCAGGTGTTAGGTCAGATACGACGAGGATTAACTTGCCGCCGATACAAAGGGAAGGATTAACGTCTCCAGTAGCTGCAAAACCATGCAGTCTCGGGTCATATCAGTTCATGTACAGCCGACCAATCCACCAGTTACAAGCAATTCACTTCAGTTCTGCACAAGTCTCCATCGTGACAAGACGAGGGGAGGCTAGACGACTTTTAAGTTCTCTTGTGTTTTCGATCCAGTTATTTACTTCGTTGGAAGACATAATACTATAAGGTAAGAAATATTAAAGTATTGGTTAAAAAATATTGATGTGACTTTTGCTGCGGTACTGTGATTAAATATTAAGATTTTGTTTCACAGCATTGCGATTTTATACTAAGACACTATCCTCACTGGGGTACAGACAAAAGCCCCCCCGACAAAAGCCACCCAGACAAAAGCCCCCCAGACGAAAGCCACCCAGACAAACGCCCCCCCCTACTTTGATCGGGGTGGCTTTTGTCTGACAACAGTAAGGGCTTTCAAAAGTTACGGACATAATTAAATAGTTGAGGGTAAAATATACTGTTCTAACTTCAGTCACTGGTCAAAGTGTCAAGCGCATAATAGAAACTCGGTGGAGTGCGAGGGGAGAAGCTGTAAGTGTTGTAAAGAAACATTTCTCAAAAATCTTAAGTGCCCTAGAAAAGTTAACTGGTGAAGAAGAAAATACAGCTACCAGGGCAGATGCTGGTGTTCTACTTGGTGCGTTGCAATCATTTTCCTTTTTTTGCTTTCTTGGCCTGTGGGGACCCGTCCTTCTAGAAATTAACGACACACAGACTTACCTCCAAACCAAGGGCTTGAACATACAACAATGTGATATAAAACTCAGGGCATTAGAAACATTTCTAGTTGAAAACAGGGACAAGCTAGTGAGTAATGGAGTTAACTATGCCAAAGAAATTTGCAATGATCTGGGGATAGTCATGGAGCGTCAGCGTCGACCCAAAAAGAAGAAACAAATGTTTGGTGAAGGATCACGAGATGCTGAATTGCCATACGACATTGAATTGAGGAGAGAAATGTTTTCTTCGCTGGACAGAGTGATCCAAGAAATAACTTTGAGATTTCAACAGCTTCATGAACTTGCTGAGAAATATGCCTTCCTTACCCCATTGAATCTTTTGGATGATAAATATGAGTGTCAAATAGATCACGATCACGACGACATTGACAAAGAGGAGTTCCTCGTTGAGAGAAAAAGACTTCAGCATTTTGTTGCTGTTGCTGCTATAACTATTAAAGACAGAATACAGACGTGGAAAGAAGGCCCCCTTGAACTTTTGCAGTTTATTCAAAAGTATAACCTTGGGAACTCGGTTCCAAATATAGTAATAATGCTGAGGATTTTCCTCACAATTGCTGTTAGTGTTGCTACCTGTGAGAGGAGTTTTTCGAAACTAAAACTGATCAAGAATTACTTAAGATCTACTATGAGCACCTTGCAGTTGAGAAATCTTGCCATACTGTCTATAGAGCGACAATTGACAGATGAAATAGTTTTTGACAATGTCATTGAAGAATTTGCCAACAAAAAAACAAGAAAAGTTACTTTGTAGAAAGTTGTAGTTTTCATTTCAGAAATAAAGATGGTCCTAATTTTTTACACTTTTTTACTTTTTTCCCTATCCTATATGTCGTTTTTGCTTTTTGTTTAACTGTTACTTATAAAGTTTAAGTATGTTTGGTGTGTATTTAAAGCATACTATATTTGAGTATGTGAAAGTACAGTAATATTATAATGGTACACAAACTATTTAATATATATATATATATATATATATATATATATATATATATATATATATATATATATATATATATATATATATATATATATATATATATATATATATATATATATATATATATATATATATATAAAAGAGTGAGTCAATGTGCAATATGTATTTTTTGTGGGGGAAGGGGCGGCAGGCGGCAAACTCAAGGGCGCCCAGGCGGCACACTCTGCTCACGCACTGTTTACATCTATTGATCACAGGAATACTTAAGTATAATAATAAGAAAAATCACAATGTGACTTACCCATTACAAAGATTTTTCCATCCCACACAGAGACAGTCATGGCCGAGCGAGGAGTTTTAATTGGAGCCACTGATGACCAACTGTCAGTTTCAGTATCATATTTCTCAACTGAGCACAGCTGATGCTGTCCATCAAAACCCCCAATCACATATATATTATTACCAAGTGCACACACCCCAGCACCACTTCTTGGAATTTTTATCGGCGACACAAACGTCCATTGGTTATTTTCAGGATGGTAACACTCAACAGAGTTTAACCGATGTTCACCATTATAACCACCGACAGCATACATTAGTCTGTTTACCACTGCAACACCAACGCCCATTCTGGCCTTGGCCATAGAGTGCACTAAAGTCCACTGATCATCGTCTGGTTCATATTTTTCAACAGTGTCTTGGCAGTCAGCACCATTTGAGCCTCCAACAGCATACAATTGACCATCAAGCACTGCCACTCCTAGTCTATTGCGTGCATAATTCATTCTGGCTCTCTGTTTCCATGTATTTGATACTGGGTTAAATGAGTCTACCCAATTGCTGTCATGGTAGTTACCATTAGGCAGAATGTTTCGACCACCTACAGCATAAAATATTCCACGAAGATAAGCTGCTCCTAAGCCTGATCTGTAAAATAAACATATTTTGTAAATCAACAAACTTATGAGCTATTCACTATCTCAGTTTCTCACCATTTACATAAGGGGTACTGAGACAAATTAAAAAAATAAAAAATAAATAAATTACAGTGAAATAATACAATACGTACTGTATAATATTATCACTATCAAGACTAATAATAACCTGTACCAAATGCCAATATAAATACAAAGCAGACACAGAAGAACAAGGCAAGCAATGAAGAGCTCCTGCAGAAACTATAATGTTTCATGGTCTGTATCCTTTGCACAGCATCGACTAAAACTTGTGCCTCGGTTGTCGTTACAGATTAAGGTAATTCAAATTCCAGGATCACGGAAGACTGAACACAAATCTTATATTATAAACAACATTTGATCATTTAAACTCAAGATACCTCAAAGCCATGCCATTCTTACACCCCTGGTGCCATACACATTAGATATATCCCCAAAACCATCCCTGAGCAACACAACTGTTCATTCAGGCAACTTTCCTATTATTTTCCCACCTCAAACATCTTAATTACCATATTTTCTAAACTGTCTATAATATTGTCAGTCCTCAATTTACATATTTTTATGCATGGTTTCACAAGTTATTGTGACTTTATTTGTATTTTTTTTTTGCAAGTCAAATGAAAACCCTCCAAATGGAGCTAACAAAATACATTCTAAAGATAAGAAAAAATATTTCTGTGTATACCAGTACAGTACTGTACTGTATATGGTAATTACCAGAATATATTCACATTTGTTTTTATTATTAAACAATTCATCAACATTCCACATTTGGGTGCTTAAAACACATCTTACACACACACACACACACAAATTTTCCCTCCTGGAGATAAATTACATATAAGCTCCTTTACTTAATATACTGATTAATCACTCAAATCAGTTTCTTAAATATGTTAACTCAGAACCTTCCTACACACTTATATTATTCAGTGATTGTGCAGTACAGTAGGGTCTCAAAGTACATGAGGGCCATGTTCCAGTAGCCTTGTATAGGTGTGAATTTCTAATATATTTGGGTCCCCCTGTACTGTATATACAGCTCCTCCCCAACTTACGACGAGGTCAGGGACTGGCATCCAGGTCGTAAGTCGAAATGGTCGTAAGTCGGAAATGCTTAAATAATACACAAAAAATCTAAAATGGGTGTCCCATTTTCTTCTCGGCACCACAAAAGGCTCACTTTTAAGCTTGCCAGCCATTTTAAAGTGAATTACAAACGAAAATTTTGTCTGTGTACTGACTTTGGGACTCTAAAATACGTAATTTGACCAAATTTTGGTACGACTGAGGCAGGTCGTAAGTGCGGGTGGTTGTAAGTGCGGGTGGTCGTAAGTGCGGGTGGTTGTAAGTCGGGGAGGAGCTGTACATATGTAAAAGCCATTTTCTTTTCTAAGCCTTAGAAGTAAGGTAACCCTACCAAAGGTAAACAACTGCATGAACTTCCACAAACCATGTACCCTGTACAGTATAGAAACAACTTAAATGATCAATAAATGTGTATAAATATTTAAAATCAAAATCATAAAAGAAAAATCAAAAGGGCTTGGTGTTTCTCACTTTCACGACATTTGATGGAGTGCATAGACGACTATTCATGGGGAACCGACGCGTAACTCTAGAGCTACAGTAGATATGTCACTCCTTAATAAGTCCAATATCTTGGCATATTCTTCAAAACTTCTCAGTACAGTATGTGTCATTTAATGTTTCTCACTCTCACCACCACGAGCACTGCCACTAAATTTCCTCTTCAGGCCCATGGGCCAGATTCACTCACGACTTATGATCACTTTTTGTGTCAGACACACGAATAAATGACTTTAGTTGCATTTAGATTGTTGTAGTAAATTAGAATTTTAACCAAAAGGGACAAAGTTGGGATACCTGGAAGATATAGCTAGTTGGAATTCAGATAAAATTAATTGCACTATAAATTAAATAAAGTCTACAACATTGGATTTACCTTAATAGTGAACACATTCTGCCTGCAGTGGCTGGCCTGACATGAATGGGGGAGGTTGTTGGGTGTTAATGGGTCAGTACGGCAGGAAATAAATTTTACCAGGGAGTGCTGAATATTAAATCTGGTGCCCTAGATACTCTGTGGTGCAATGTACAGTAAAAGTCCAAAAATCCGGATGCCAGAAATCCGGACCACCTGAGAATCCGGACTTTTCGAAAACTCAAACTTAACTTTTTTTTTTTTTTTTTTTAGCTGGCTTTTGTGTGCATGTGTGAGCGCCACAGCTACCATGCGGTCGCCACTTAAAACAAGCTATCAAACTGTGACAACGTATGTAATTTTGAATCCTACTCATTCCATTTATAGAGTACTGTACAAGCCCATAATAATGGCTCCTAAAGTAGATAAATTTCGTTGTGTGAAGAGAAAGAAGAACACTTTGAAATTGAGTGACAAACTTGAAATAATTAAGAAACTAGAACGAGGTGTGAGCAATACTGTTCTAATGGAAACATATAACATTGGAAAGTCTACAATTTATGATATAAAAAAGGCAAAGAATAAAATTTTAGAATTCACAGCTTTATCTTTAAAACTGTTCGTTTTGATAAATGAACCATGCTATATTTGCTAATGAATAAACTATCAAAATGTACCTGTTCATCTCTTCTTTATTTCTCCTGAAATTTGAATTTTAAAAGTACTGCCTGAGAATCCGGAAAATCCGAAAATCCGGACCGACCCAATCCCCAAGCAGTCCGGATTTTTGGACTTATACTGTATAGTACTTTATACCCAAAATACTGGGCTGCTGCAGCACCCTCCCTTCCCACGTCCAAGTACTGGGTGGAGTGAGCCAGCACACACCTCACCACAACAATAACAAACACAAGACTGACCAAGTGTAGAGTGCAGTGAGTGTTACCCACGTGACCAACTCTGCCAAGATCTTCCCAGATAATTTGATATAACTCGGCATTTCCCGAGTTATTTTATAATAAATTCTGAGACCATATTAGTGCTGAATTATGTGAAATTCCAAGGTATCGAATGCCAAGTTATCAAGAGTTTACTGTATACAATAACACCAACACTTAATATAACAACTTTGTGGTTGCCATGGCTACAGCTTTTATCTTCTTTCCATTCTTAATAATGGTTCTAACAATTGATGTAGCCAAGTTGAAAGCAGCACCGACATCCACCTGACGCTCACCAGCTTCCAGCCGCCTCAATACTCATAATTTTACAACCAAGGAGATACTTTTCCACAAAACTTTAAACGCACTTGAAACATTAAAACTTACAGGCCATTTTCCACACATGATGAGTAAAAAAGTCACTAATATAAAAAAAACAGCGAGTCAACATAAGTTTTAGCTGAGGCTTTCAGGTTTAGTGCATCCAAGTCCTGTTCAAGCTTTTTCTGATAAAAGTAACCGCACAATGCGGGATCCTCAGAAAATGTCACTGTTTGTCTTTCAAAAGACTCACTGAAATGCTATCACTTACCCAAATAGATTAAAGTATAGTAATTGTTACTGCAAGCGGTACTGAATTATGATGACACATAAACAAACATTATGTTAGGCTGTAAGTCATGTCATATTTATTGGGTGTGCCTGCCCGTATACAGTATGTAGAGTGTTGAGATGGTGGAGATGAGAGGCCCAGAGGAGGTTGGAGTGTGTAAGGGGAGCTTGTTTATGTCCATTGCATCATTTATCATTGTGACAGTATAGAAATATGGCAAATTAAGTATAGTAAACCCTCGCTTTACGCAGTTTCACTTTACGCGTTTCCACGTTTACGCGGTACCATGCCGAACATGGAATGCTCACTTTCCGCGGTGTGTGTACCCTTTTACGCGGAGAGCAGCTGGCGGTCCTCTCGCGCTGCGTCATTTTTGGATCCAAACCTCCCGCCCTCTCCCTTCCATCCGCCATGTTGTGTAAGCGGCGCGAGTAGGTTGCGCAGTGTATGTCTTTGTTGCGTTACCAGTGACGTCATATGACGTATCGGACTGTGATTGGGCCAAGCATCCTTACCTCCCTCCTCGCTAGCTGTGATTGGTTTAATGTACTATGACGTGCCCCGCCGCGGGAGCGTGCAAGCCCCTTGACCTACCCGCGTCAGTTACACCCCTCCCGGCTACACCGTGTATATTGGTATCCATTGTTCCATAAGAATGGCTTCCACCGGACCACCACCACAAAGAAATCTTGCATTACCTGGACCCAGCCGCCCTAAGCCATATTAGACACACATTCCTTAAGCTACGAAATTAAATATAAGATCATACAAGAGTTGGAGAAAGGAACAAGACAGGTTGATCTCGCGTGCCAGCATGGTGTTAACGAGTCTACGATCAGGACAATTAAGAAGGATGCAGCCAAGATAAAGGAGCACATGAACATCACAAAGTCTACAGGTGCTTCTATGATCAAGTATTGCCACAACCAGGTGCTTCTCAAGACAGAAAAATTACTTGTGAGCTACTGGGTTCGTCAGGCGCGACGGAACATGGCGGTGGACACGCGCTCAGTTAAGGAGTATGCACGTGAACTGTATGCTGCAGTGTCACGAAAGATGGGAATTGCAGAGCCCAAACCCTTTCATGCTTCCTCTGGGTGGTTACAGAGGTTTAAGAAGAGGAACAAGATCAGCAATATCAACATTGGTGGCGAAGAAGCTAGTGCTGACCGTGTTGCGGCTAGGGAATTTCCTCCGTTTTTACGTGAGATTATGGAGGAAGGACAGTACACCGACGACCAGGTGTTTAACATGGACGAATCTGGTCTTTTTTGGAAAAAGCTACCTTCCAAGACCTTCGTTGCGAAGACTGCCAGCAAGTGTCAGGGCCGGAAGTTGCAGAAGGAGCGCATCACGGTCCTGTTTACCACCAATGCCTCCGGTACCTGTAAGCTCAAGTTATCGGTGATCACACAGCACGCAAGCCACACGCCTACAAGAGCATGGACATGACTAAGCTAAATGTCCAC